CAGTTGAGAACCGTTGAGGCAGAAGCAGGGCAATAGTTTTTACACTAGTCTTTTTCAACATTAAGGGCGTTTAGGAATATACTGCATTTCTCGATTTTTTGTTGTATTTTTTGTTTTTAGGAAGCGCTCGGTAGAGAAGATGGCTCAAGTCACCAGACAAATCATCCATACAGCTACTGCACCCGCGGCTGTTGGTCCATACAGGTATTGTAAATTTGTATGTAATCTGTTTTTTTTTTGTCAACCACTCTTTTTTCATGGAACAAAAAGTCTTGAAAATTGAGAAACTTGACAATTGTACTCCTTTTATTTTAATTCCATTTTAGGTAACGAGCCTTAATTGTACAAGATTATCAAATCTTTTATTAATTTATTTACTGATTTTACTTTTGCACAATATTATCGGGTAATCTGGCTTCTCAGATCTCTGACTTTTGCAGTGTACTGAAAAAAAGCTAATTATATCATAATTCATTTCATCTATTACAACTGATCTCAAAGAGGTAACGTTGAAATATATATCTGCGAATATTGATCGAATTAGCATTACCCTTTTTTACGATGCGACGACATTGCAGTCCAACATTTTTTTCTTTACGTTAATGTTGAAGATGCCAAAAATTCATTTGGGTTTGCAAAACGTGATGTAATCTAATGATTACCGATTATTTTCAGCCAAGCAGTTCGCGTTGACAATACCATCTACATCAGTGGCTCATTAGGATTAGATCCCAAGAGTGGTGAGCTGAAGGCAGGCATAAAAGAGCAAACGCACCAGTCTTTAAAGAACATCGGAGAAATTTTGAAGGCTGCCGGGGTTGGCTATGGCAACGGTAGGCATGAAAAGCGGAAATTCCCCAATCTTCGAATTTATTTGTTTGTTTAGTGGTAAAAACAACCGTTCTTCTGGCAAATATCGATGATTTCACTACCGTCAACGACATCTATAAGGAGTACTTCACCGCAAAGTTCCCGGCCAGGGCTGCCTATCAGGTAAGTACGCCAATTTAGGGAGGCCTTTCTATTCTGTGAAACTCTAGGTGGCTGCCCTGCCAAAGAAGGCCCTCGTTGAAATTGAAGCCATTGCCGTAGCAGGTGAACTCAAGGACGCATGAAGTTTCAGCAATAAATAGTCCATTGTTATTAAACCCGGTCGTTGATTTGAAATTCATAGTGATTACATGTAAGCAAATGAATGTACTGCCATGTTCTTGTTTCATTAATAAAAGTGCTAATGCAATTTTATCTATGACTGCTAGTTGAACTCTTATATCTATAACCTTGTATGTATAAGAAACGGAAAGAGAGGTTTTCATGTTATCACCGTGGTCGGTGTTTCTGAACTAAAATTCCATGTGCGTAGTTAGTAGGTGTAAAGGTTGAAGAGAACACTTGATTTATGCCTTACTTCCTTCTAGACAAATTTTAGCGGCACCTGCATAATAATTCAAACTTGTCCACACTATTCATTTATAGATGCACAATGTAATTGTATGAAAATATGATAGTATGACGTCTGATCTTTCGCATTCTGCATGTGTTTCGAATACAATAGACAGTAGCCCGTAAAAGAAGGGATGCCTGCTTGAGGATAGATCGGATCGCATTTGTTTGTAGAGCTTCAGGATAGAATTAAAATATCAGTCGAGAATCAAACGAGTTATCCTACTTAAAGGTGCCGAGCACACCAGGATCTTGCTGCAGAGGCGAGCAAGCGCAGATGTGGTGATGAAAAACTTCGTTAGCAGCGATGTTGCTGTGCAATACCATTTG